CTTTCTTCCTTTCTTTCTTTCTTTCTTTCTTTCTTTCTTTCTTTCTTTCTTTCTTTCTTTCTTTCATAGCTTGAGAATGTCTGGTAGATTTCCCCAGGGAAGCCCTCTGGCCCAGGGCTCTTATTTGTTGGGAGATTTTTGATAACTGATTCGATTTCTTTACTAGCTATGGGTCTGTTGAGATTTTCTATCTCTTCCCGTGTGAATTTTGGTAGTGTGTGTGTGTTTAGGAATTTGTCCATTTCTCCTCACTTGTTGGCATATAATTTTTCATAGTATTCCCTGATAATTGCTTGTATTTCTGAGGGGTTGGTTGTAATATGTCCATTTTCCTTCATGATTTTGTCTATTTGAGTGCTCTCTCTTTTCTTTTTGATAAGTCTGGCTAGAGGTTTGTCAATTTTGTTTATTTTTTCAAAAAACCAACTCTTGGTTTCATTGATCTGTTCAACTGTTTCTTTGGTTTCTATATTGTTTATTTCTGCTCTGATTTTTATTATCTCTTTTCTCCTTCTGGGTTTCGGGTGCTCTTGTTTCTCTCCCTCTAGTTCCTTTAGCTGAGCTGTTAGATTTTGCACTTGCGCTTTTTCTAATTTCTTGAAATAGGCCTGGAGTGCAATGTACTTTCCTCTTAGAACTGCCTTTGCTGTTTCCCATAGAGTTTGGATTGTTGTATTTTCGTTTTCATTTGTTTCCATATATTTTTTAATCTCTTCTCTAATTGACTGATTGGTCCATTCATTCTTTAGAAGGGTGTTCTTTAACCTCCATGTTTTTGGAGGTTTTCAAGACTTCTTCCTGTGATTGATTTTGAGTTTCGTAGCATTGTGATCTGAAAGTGTGCATGATATGATGTCAATTCCTTTAGATTTATTGAGGGCTGCTTTATGTCCCAGTATGTGATCTATCTTGGAGAATGTGCCATGCACACTTGAGAAGAAAGTGAATTCCGTGTTCTCAGGATGTAGAGTTCTAAATATATCTTTCAGATCCATCTGGTCCAATGTGTCTTTCAAGTCCATTGTTTCTTTAGTGATTTTCTGTCTGGTTGATCTATCCATTGCTGTAAGTGGAGTTTAAAGTCCCCTGCTATTAGCACATTCTTATCTATAAGCTTGTTTCTGTTTGTGATTAGTTGTTTTAAATATTTAGGTGCTCCCATATTCGGTGCGCAGGCATTTATAATTGTTAGTTCCTCCTGATGGATAGACCCTGTAATTATTGTATAACGTGGGAGCAAATTTTTAATATATGTTTGAAAATGCCTTTATTCTCAATTCATCTTTAATTATTATTTTGGTTGGATATATAATTTCTGATTATAAATAATTTATATCACAATTCTGAAAGCATATCATTCAGCTTCCAGTCTTCCTGTTGAGAAAGTGTGACCCAATTTGATTCTTGATCCTTTGTGTGTAAATTGATTTTATTTCTGGAAGTTTTAAGAGCAGTCTCTCTGACTCAATTCTGATATTTCCTGATGATGTGCCTTAGACTAGATCTATTTTTATATAAGATTCTGTGCTTTCTTGGATTCTTTCAAATTGAAAACGTATCCTTCAGTTTTGGAAAATTTTTGTTTTCTCTGTTTGTTGTTGTTTTGTTTTAGGAACTCCTTTATTATGATTCTGAGCCCCTTGGACTTAACCTCTAACTTTTGTATCTGTCTTATGTTCATACCTTTGTCTTTTTGATTCTACTTTCTTGGAGATATTTTTGTTATTTCATCTAAGCATTCTATTGAGTTTTTCATTTCTACAACTATTTAAAAAGTAAAAGCACTTTTTTGTTATCTGAAAGTTTCTTCTCTGTACTATTGTAATTATGCTTTATTGATGCAAAATCTTATTTCTTTGTGAGAATACTTATGTTACAGTTTTTAAAAATGTTTTTTTCTTGAATGATCTCTATTTCCTTCAAGTTCCTTATCAGTCTTTGTTTTGTTTTTCTCCAAAATGTAGAGACCTTTTTCTATGTCTATTGGTCCTTGTCTGTGGGTTAATATTTAAGTGTGGTCCACTAAGAAGCTGAGTACAGAGCTTGTTGACTACAAACTTTAAAATAGGCTTGAGCTGATTTAGTTATTCCATGAAGGATACATTCAAATACCAATATCTTTAGTTTGTCTGTTGTGTTTTGATCAGATTCTGCAAATTAAGATCCCTCCTGCCTGTGTACTGTGATCCATGTCAAGGAAGAGGTCTGAAATTTCAGCATTCAGTCTCCTCAGTATGATATGCCTTTAGTCCTCCTTCAGTATAGTACCCCTGACTTCAACTTGGCTTGGTGTCCCAATCCAGAGGATCTCTATTTTCCCATTCCCTGGACTAAGGTGATCTCATTGTTGTTTGCTTTTCATTTCCCTGGTGACTAGTGATGTTGAGCATCTTTTCATATACCTGTTTGCCAACCGTATGTCTTCTTTGAAGAAATGTCTGTTTAAGTACTTTGCCCTTTTTATCAATAAAATAAGAAAAATCTAAATATAGGTTTATCTATTTAAAGTTTATTTATTTATTGTTGGGAAAGACAGAGACAGTGTGAGTGGGGGAGGGGTAGAGAGAGGGGAGGGAGAGAATTTCAAGCAGACTCTGCACTGTCAGTGCAGTGGGGTTCGAACTCACCAACCAGGAGATCATGAGCCAAGCCACAACCAAGAGTTGTCACTTAACTGACTGAGCCACCCAGGTGTCCCTATATATATATTTAAAAACTGATGCATAAATGCTTTTGGAAGTGTAGTTTCAGGTGCTGAAAAATTGAAAACTACATAAATACCTTCAAACAGAAAAAGGATAATAACACTGTGGTATATCTATATAATAAATATTATATAACAAAAATATTTGTGTAGCATTTCTACTAAGTGTTATTGGATAAAAGTGGAATACAAATTTAAATGTGATAGTTTCACAACTATATAAAATGCATTTAAAACATAGAAGAAAATACACTAGAATATTCATTACATTTGGCTTTGTATTGTGAGATTATGAATATCAATTATTAGTCTGTTTGCTTTGATGTATCTTCAAGATTTTCCCCAAAGGGTGTTTGATATTGTAATTAGGAAAAATTAACTATAAGAATAATCACAACCCTCTTTCCATGTAAAATTTAACTTACTTTGTTCCTCTGACTTTTTGATAGCATCCTACCTTCTTCTCCTTTTTTTTAAATTCTTTTTTTAATGTTTATTTATTTTTTGAGAGAGCACACATGTGTGAGAGGGGCGGAGAGAGGAAGACAGAGATTTCATAGCAGGCTCCACACTGACAGCAGGGAACCTGACGCGGGACTTAAACTTGCCAACGCTAGATCATGACCTGAGCCGAAGTCAGAGGCCCATCTGACTGAGCCACCCAGGTGTCCCACCATTTTCTCCTTTTTAATAAAACTGATTTAAAAGTATTTTTACTCTCTCATTTCTTCACCAGCTTCACTTTTCTTCCCCATTTTTTTCTTAGTTATTTACCCAACTTTATGCTGTGCTTTGTAATTCTAGCAGCTTAACAATTTCATAGTAAGGTTTTCTATTTTCAGTTATACTTTGTTAACAATATAATATAATACAATTTAATCTGTATATTATGAACACTGTCAAGTATAATCCTTCCTCAAATGTCACATTATATCATCAAGCTTATGGAGCATGCTAAACAATAAATATTAAAAAGTAAGGAAGGGGTCATGGTGTATATTACTTTTCTGTGTTTAGAATCTTTAATAGATGTATTTGAAGAGATGATCATATATATATTTCTCTTTTAGACTTAAGCTCTTGCTCTCCTCCCCTGCCCACCCACATTTCAATAAAATTTTCTTTGTAATAATTTTCCCAACACAGACTTATTCTTAGTGGTCATACTTAGAAGGTAGAGGAAACAAAAAGAATTTTTTTTTGACGAGAAATTTATTTTATTTTATTTTTTTAAGGTTGAACATTTTTTAATGTTTATTTGCATTTCTTTGGTGAATTGTTTCATCTAATTTACTCATTTTTTTTTACAAATAGTTTATTGTCAAATTAGTTTACACATAACACCCAGTGCTCATCCCCAGAAGTGCCCTCCTCCATTCTCATCCCCCCCCCACATCCATCAGTCCTCAGTTTTTGTCAGCATTCAAGAGTCTCTCATGGTTTGCCTCTCTCCCTTTCCCACGCCATTTCCCCCCTTCTTCTCCCCCTTGTTCCTCAGTTAAGTTCCTCCTAATCCTCCCATACGTGCAAACATATGATATTTGTCCTTTTCTGCCTGATTTATTTCGCTCAGCATAACACCCTCAAGGTCCATCCATGTTGCTACACATGGCCAGATTTCATTCTTTCTCATTGCCATGTCGTATTCCATGGTATAGATAAACCACATCTTCTTGATCCATTCGCCCATTGATGGACACTTAGGCTCTTTCCATGTTTTGGCT